AGGAATCATCCTTTCTCTCCCTTATTTCCCCCACCCCTAGTATTCCTTGGAAACAGAGTTGGTGAGTGGGAGTTATTTGCTTGTGGGAATAAAATAAGATAATGGTATCATGCAATACTGTGTAAAGATTAAGTGTTGTATACATTTCTATACATTAAGTAATTCTTATTACTCTTTTTTGACCAGGAGAAGCAAAGGATGATCAGTTCATAGAAAATCTATTTTTAGGGGCCGGCACTGTGGCTCAATGGGTTAACGCCCTGGCCTGAGGCACCGGCATTCCATGCGGACACAGGTTCGAGACCCGGCTGCTCCACTTCCAATCCAGCTCTCTGCTATGGCTTAGGAAAGCAGTATAAGATGGCCACATGGGAGGACAGGAGGAAGCCCCTGGCTCCTGGTTTCGGATCACTCAGCTCTGGCCGTTCTGGCCAATTGGGAAGTCAATCATCGGATGAAATACCTCTTTCTCTCTTCCTCTCCTCTCTCTGTGTAACTCTTTCAAATAAATAAATCTTTAAAAATGTCTATTATTAATTCACAAACTTTCCTTAAATGTATCGTTTCATCATACTAAGGGATCATATCTAATTGAAACACGGCTATAAAAATAGGAGGTTTAGGAAAAATGCTTCAATTATTTTTCTGAAGTTCTTGTTTTGAAATGTGTGAAAAGGCTCAAGTTGTCATTTGGAGAAATTTCGAAACTGAAATGTCTATCATCTTTATGAAGGGGTCACATATAGGACGTCTAGAAGCCGAATAGTAAGATAGATGATCTCATTGGCTCTTTTGGTCTGAGACTCAATACAACAGGTCATTTTTTCATTTGTTAAATCATCATGTTCAGTTTTTCTGATTGAATATAATAAAGGGTAAACTCAAATATTTCACCTATTATCTAGGCTTAATAGGTACACATAGTGCCCTTTTCCAATAGAGGAGTTTACTATTTTAGCTATTTTACTATATGTAAAGCAGTTGTTATAGCTGTTGTTTGTAACTCCATGACATATTGAAATAAAATTTAAAAGCAGTTGCAAATATTTCTAAATTATCTAAATGTGCCATTATATATGCTATTGAAACTCTATGTAACATTTAAGTTCATTTAAAGTATGCTTTCCTGTAACCAGGGTTTGAAACTTGGATGGCCAGCCTTTGAAATGTATAAATTATAGAAGGAAATCAGCATAGTTTTCTTTTCCTGGGAAGTGGAGCAGTTAATATTCAACATGAAATGTCTAATCTTTAAATACATTATAATCTAACTGCTTAGGATAATTTTTGCTTTAATACCTTAAGAGTCTTCAAAGCCTGAAGGATGGGATTATTAAGATGGAATTTTAATGTCAAAATTATCAGAGAAGTGAACATATTGCCAGTGTTCATAAAAATTGTATTCAATTTCTGTATGATTTGTTCAAATAAGAGATGAGAATATATTTGATTATAGCTAGTAAGTAACCAAAAATTTGATCAGATGACTGGAGGTCACTGCTACATAAGTGCTGTCAACCTCAGAGATTAGACTATTTAAGAACTGAATTTACTCTAATATATAAATGTATCTGCAGAGATATGCATAAAATGTAGTCATCAAGTAACTAAATCATTGCAATATTTTGTGGTGAAAATCATAAGAAAAACAGAGTATGCAGATAAATATTAAAATGATTGTGAATTATACCATTTCTTACCAAAAATAATGCAAAATAATAATAACTTGCTTAATTTTCATTTTCTGAAGATTTAGGATAACAAAATTAGCAAATGCATAGCGGATTTCTAAACTTTAAACTTCTTGTATGTAGCAGATTTTTATTAGAGTTCAGATTCATTTATGGTATAGAATTAACTTTAGCAACCAGCTAATATGAAAGGCAATGACAAGTTGGCATTAACTATATACTATTTTAGGTAATTGTTTTAACACAAATATATACTTTCCAATATTTTTTTCCTATATCATGCTTGTCAGTTTCTTAAGGATTATACTGTAGCAATACAAGCTTTCCCTTCTAAATTATCATATATCTACAATGATGTTCTCATAAGTATCTTTTAAAACTATTAATAGAAACTATAATAAGCGATCAATAGTCATTCAAACTTACAATTATAATTTTTCTCCTAATGGTGGGGGAGATGTAAAAACTTGTCTTATGGGTTGGCCTTAAGACACAAAAGCTCAGTAGGTACCTTTCTTAGAACAATGCACATTTGTAATTTATGAATGTTCTTTTATATTCTTGTAGGATATAAATATACAGTTACATTTTCCCTTTTCCCCAGTGCTACATAATTATAACTTGTAATATGTAAATATTTATGAATTCACAGGATGTTCGCTAGGAGAGAAGAATGTTATACTTGCAGATTTGTCTAGTATTTGCAGAATTCAGATCTTATTATTAGGCTTTATGCTTTATTGCGAAATGTAAAATACATTGTTATAAATTTTCACTTGTCTAGAAAACATACCATCTGGTGATTTTGTTGAGATTTGAGGATTATCTCAACATCATTTCTTGCTAGAGGTAGACGTTACAACATTGGTTGAAAATTTTACTAGCTTTACTTTTATGTAAGTAAATGGAGGACAAATGCCCTGCCCTGTGTTCTGGATGATAAAATGCAGTTCCAATATTAATATAATGAGGTGTTAGAATATAGAGGGCTTTAAAGATTTTCTAGGCAGTAATGATACACTAGTAGATTGACAATGGCTATCTAAAATGCAATTTAAAGATTCCAAGACTACCCATGCGGAGGCCCAGTGAGGACACATTGAGAATATATGGCTTGGGTCCAGGATGGCACTCTGGTGGCAAATGTGCTGTGTATTTTGCCAACCAGCACTGAACATAAATTAAAGATCAGTAAAAGCTCACCAAAGAAGATACCAATGCCTGAAACATCCCACGAAATTGTCAGAACTACTTCTTAACATTTGTTCACTTATTTCCTAAACTTTCACTTTTATAACCTCCACTAATTCTATTCTAGTACTCATTAAAAACATGGATTCTTCAAAAAATGAAGATTAACATCCGTTTTCCTTTTAGACATTTTCTTTTCCAATCAAAACTCATGGATTCTCTGCTACTTCACCATTGCTATAAATTGCTCAGTGCATTTTCAAAAATAATTTCCTAGAACCAAGTACTCTAGATGATATATAATGTAAACTAAAATATTATTTCTCTTTATGAAAACACTGTACCTCCATTTAATACAACATGAAGAATTCACTGCCTGTTTTGTGGTATTTTCATCCTCTTGGCTCAAACTGACTTTACATTTATTACCACATTTAGCTGTTTGTAAGAGTGACTCACTTATGTGTCCCAAATACTACTTGTTCATAAATTCCTCATATGATAATGATAACCACATTTCTATGATTATTTTTTTCAGTAAAGAACCACACTGAGCATTTCATTTTAATCATATTATTTGAAGTCACCATAGCCTTAATTTTATCTGCAGATAAGATACTAAGACCTACAGATGCAGTTTCATTACATTTATCACTTCTGTGTTTATTTTGCACTTGGAATTATTCATTTTGGAGTTTTTATTCAATAATTATATTAGGTTCTCTAAGGACACAAGGAACTATAGTCTAAATTTTCCATAGGTAAATGAGATTTATTTCAAAACTACTTGAAGAAAATGTTAAATGGAATACTGAGAAGTTACACAAATAAATCTAGACAAAGGGAATGTTCCTATACCTGTGCAATAGTTTTGATGTCTCAATGACAGTTTTCACCACCCTAATAAAAGAGTGCTTTGTGTTTTTTCTCCTTCCCAAGGAAGAGCTTCATTTTTTCTTTATGGTAGGATAAGATGATAACTCATGTCTCTGTCTCTACTGCTATTGGCCCCAGTGCTCAGTTTGAGTCCTCCTACTCTCTGACTAATGTTTTATGATTACTTACAACTCTTGTTTATTTGTTTTGATATCATAGCACTTGATGTCTGCCCCATTCATTTGGGGAGTGAATCAGCAGACATGAGGTCTCTGTCTATTTCTGTTTCTGTTTCTTATGCTGTGTTTTTCTCTACCTTTCAAATATGTATCTAAAGTAAGTCTATTTAACCAATGGGAAGTATCTTTCAAGATTTACATGTATGTACCTTTGACTCAATAGTTTATATTTTATTTTCATGCAGTATGTAAATACATACTGGTAGCTTCAGTTTTAATCATGATTTGGGACAACCTGATATCAATCTGTAAAGAAATATTTAAAACATTATCCAACTGAAAAGAAGAGGAAGTGTCAGGTAAAGTGTTAAGCACAAGACATGAAAGAGATAGTAGAAAAGCAACTGCCTCTCATGAATGTCATTGTTTCTTAATAGAGGAATATTGAATATGGGAGCATTGAAAGTGTGTGCACTCAGTGTATCTCTGTAATTGACATTTAGGAAATCATAGAGAATGGGAGATTAAACAAGAGAAAAATGCATGCAATGGCCAGAGTTGGGCCAAGGCCAGAGTTAGAAGTCAAAACTCAATCCAGGTTTCCCATATAGCTAGTGGAGACCCAGATACTTGAATGACCACCTTCTGTTTCTTAGTGTCTGCATAAGTGAGAAGCTGGATTCAGAAGTGTTAGCTGGGAAATCAAAATTGAGCACTCTGTTGGGCAATGCAGGCATTTTAAGTGTTAGGTTAAATGGTTACTCCTGCCCAGTTTGGATTTTATCCCTGTATTCCATATATAATAATGCATTGTTGATGTGGGAATTTACCCTAGTGGTTAAGAGACCAGTAAAGACACTTACATTTCATATAAAAGTACCTGGATTCAATTCCAAGCTCTAGCTACCAATTCCAATTGCCTGTCAATGCAGAACCTGGAATGCAATATATAATGGCATAACTAGTTGGGTTCCTGTCACCTATGTGGGAGAGTTGAATTGAATTTCTAACTTCTTTATATTTTAGTTTCTTCCCCCAAAATAGAGTTTAAATTATTACTTACCTTATTTTTGTTTATTAATTATGTAATATATGTTAGCATATCTGTCCATATATACTGCTTTTTCACCAACATAAACACTGATTTAATTTTCTTCAGCTTTTTTGTATTATAGTTAATTTTCACCTGAATTCTTCCTACAAAAAAAAAAAAAAAATCATGGAGCCACACTGAACTTTTGATTCTTAATTCATTCTTGCTTAAATATTTTTTCATGTTTTGTTTAAGTCTTCAAAAACTTTGACACTCAAAATTTGTATAAATGAGAAAACTCATACGGGAGTAGATCATCAGAAAAACTTAAGTAGGTACAAACTCAGCCATCTCTCTAGGGATCATCCATACTGATGTTTTATTGAATTAAGAAAATACTAGAAAAAATGAAGTTAATGTACATATGCCTAGGTATTTCTGAATTATATAGTAATTATGCATATTTTGTAAAAAACTTTTGTCATTGCTTCTAACAATCACTGGTAGTACAATTAACACTATTTCTGTTTTAAAGGTGAGAAAGCTTAGACTCAAAAGCATAACCTACTCAATGCATCAATTCAGTTGATGTCAGGTATGGAATTTCAACTCCAAGTACAAAATTTTTTCTACTTGAGATTTCTGTGTTCTTTGAAAATATATTTTGCAGTATTAATTCCTTCCTACAAAAGACTGAGTATGTGAAGAGATTTGAGTATTCCTGGAATCCTGTCTATTGCCTTTTGGGCCCCAACAAAATGTCCTCTCTCTCTACAAGCACACTAATTAATTCTATTGAATTAAGACTTAAAACATCTAAGAGTCTTCTATTCAGAATCCAAATACCCTTGGAGATTTAATAATCAAGCTGTTAAGTAATTAAACCTTAGTAAGAATTAGCTTATCAGATTGCTTTTCATCAACTGCTAAGTGAGAAGCAGTGGAGCACACAGTAGAAGAGACGGGATAAGGTGAGAGCCAAAGCATAAGCAATTCTTGAGGACAGAGCAGAACACTGTCGCTTCTGTGAAAATCTGGGAACCCAGCAAAATGGTAAATTTAACTAGCAGAGCTGTAGTTTAAACACCAAGCAAAATCAATTAATTTATAATTTTGGCGAATGGCTTGTCTTGGCTGTAGACTTAAGCTAACAGTCATCCTATATTAAATGGGATTATATCCCTAGATATTTTTCTGATTCAATCTACAGTTGAAAGTATGTTTTTATTCTATAGAAAATGACCAAAAAACTAACAACTTTTTCTGGCATGCCTTTCTACGGACTTGTCAAACACTAGTCTGAATTTCAACTTAACAACAAATACAAAAATTAAGACCTACATCTTTGACGTTTCTTTGATCATGTGCATTCCATCTCAGCTCTGGCAAATTTCCCCATTCACTTGCTTGTACTTAATTTTAATGCACGCAGTCCATGCAATCATGACTCCTTTGCCCATGTTTCTTTAGTTTTGTATCTTCCACCTTTTGTTTGTATGACACTCCTAGATAGTAGAGACTACATCGTATTTATCTTTGCATTCCTAGCATCTGTCACAATGTCTAGACATTGTGGTCAAGGCTAATAGGTTACTAAATGTTTAATGAATGAATTAACTAACTGAGCAAGTATGTAAATATGATGTAAATATACATCTATATAACAAGCAATTCCTCCTTTCACAATCAAGCTGAATAATCACCTGTCTTATCTGTTTTCAAGATATTTTATTATTCTTCGTGCATCTGTTAACTTTTATGGATATTTTAAGCAATATATTTAATGAAACTTTTCTGCAGGAACATAGAGCAACCTGAAAAAAATGAGAACAAATCAAAACTGAACTGTGAAATATAAGCTATAGTTTCTAAATTGAATGAACATAATAGTTTTTGTTTAGATTAAACAAACTCTTTAGCTTTTTAAAAATAAATCTATTATTTCAGACTGGTTAAATTTATAAACAAAAAGTGTGAAGTAGTAAAAAGACTTCCTATATACCCACACACCTGTTATGAACATCTCATATTAGTATGTTTGTCACAATTAATGAACTATACCCAGATTCACCTCTTTTTTATCCAGATTTTTAGTACAAGTTTGCTAATAAATCATTCTTCTATCCATGTTGTGTGATAATTTACTTATCAATCAAACAAGTCAATGAAACTATCAGTCAAAATAAAAAAATTAAGATCAGTCCAGTGATTTGAATACTAAGTAAAAATACCCATCAATTTGAAAACTGTTATTTTAAAATATATTTTTATAATTACAAATATTTAACTGAATTTTCTGGCATGGTAGCAGACACAGATTATGTTCCATATGGGGTATCCATAGGTTCAGTCTTCTAATTGATGGTATTCATATATTTTTGTGTGTCTTTATTTATCATAAGTTATAAAAGCATCTATCTTACACATGCTACTGCTTAATATAATTTTATACACTTGACTCTCCATTTTTCTATCCCAATGTCAAGTTCTATCATCTTGGCATATCTGCACTTAACACATGCATTTGAAGACCACTTTTGCTTCTGCAGTTCTTGAAAATTTTACAAGTTTTGACCAAACAGGATGCAGAATTGTTTTTGAGTTTCTGCCATGAAATGTCTAATAACCCTGTCATTCTTCTGAAAATACTGTGTTAATAAATTCTGACAACGTGCAAAACATAGTGAGAAGAAGAATTTTTACTTCCCACGCAGCTTTTCTCCAAGTGGTAAAAGATAGAGAAAAAGAAAAAGGGAGAAAGACCCCACAATTAGGTCAGATAGGCCATTTCTTCACAGAAAGATTATTTCTGAAACTTACATCCCTGAATTCTTTCTGGGAATAGTCACCTTAAAGTTCTCAGCCAACAAACCAGCCCTCTGCCTTGGAAGTGCAGTTAGCAATCTAAAAATCATTCCGTAATAAAACATTTATATTTTTGCATTTCATGATAGCCAGCATTTTATAGCTTTCCTTTGGCGCTTTTCTACCTAGTTTCATACTTTTAACACTAAAGCAATGTTTTGTCTTTTTTCTGGTTTTGGTTTATGATGTTTGATGATACCAAGTGGCAACACCTTTCATTAAAGAAACGTGCATATATGAAAAGTGAAACAAACACACACACAAGTGGTTTTCTCACTCAAACATCAATTACAATGTAAGTTAAAACAGAAGTGTAAGAAAAATCATAAGAGTCAGACATCTAGTTATTCATTATTAAGGTTTTGATAGTATGTTGGCTCACTTAACAGCTATGCAGTCTTTAGTACATCTGGAAAGGTCATTAGCATACGTGTGTGCATATATATGTATGTATATGTGTTTGTGTGTGTGTGTATATATATATATATATACATTTCTCAAAAATGCTGGAAATGCAAAAGAAAATTTAATTCCTTAGGACACATTAAAATAAACAACTACCAATTTTCCTTACAATAGGTCTGAAAACTCTTGGCAACTACTAATATATGAACACAAGTGGAAAATATTTCTTTGTGCTTGTCTACATTACACCATTTGTGGCAGTGTTCCTTTTAAAGCCATGACATCAGAAGCATCCCAGGATCTTAGAATCACTGACATTTTAATCAAAGAAAGCTTTTGACTACAAGATAATTAGGAGAAGCAGGTAGATAAAACCTTAAAACCTTGCTTTTCAAATTAAATTAACAATGGTCTGGTGCGGAACTGAGTTAATGTGTGCCGTGCATCGTGCAGCAGCTCACAGCAGATTCTCACGGCGTGCAAGCGGGGGGATTCTGAAGAAATTCTCTCCAGATTTCCTGGCTGTGGGTAAATCCCAAGCAGGTTAATCATATGTAAAATGTAGGATATATGTGTATCTCTCATATATATATATATATATGTAATATATACACATGCACAAACATATATGTATATTTTATGAAAGGTAAAAGATTAGAATTTGCTAAATCTTCTTCCTATATTTGACCAAATGAGCATTGCAAATATCTAATTGTTTGAAAAAAAGAAAGGATTAATGTTTAAAATCATTATTTCAACACCACATCAAAAGATGCAATTTTCAGAAAGCTCTTTTTTCGCCTGAGTTTCTTCAGTATGGTTTCATTCAAATGATAATACTGTGTATAGAATGAAAACTTTACACTGTACATTAAAAGTAATAGAATACTTGATTAAAAATTTGAAATACCCATCAAACTCAAAGTAATAATTATAATTATTTAGTTGAACAAAAATAAATCAGGACATTTAATATGTAGCCCTTGATTTCAAATCAAATATTTTATTTGTAATATTTAAAAAGAAAACATTTTAGAGATTCCATTTGTCCAAAGTAGAAGTAATTGATCATCATCTTATGCTGAAACACTAGTGGTTTACAACTTAGGTTTAACAGTACATTTGCCCAGCAAAATAGTGAGATTGACAGCAGTGTGTGTGTGTATGTGTGTGCATGTATATTTGGAAAAAGTCTTACAAATAATGTTTATCTTGCTTCCCTAATCATTCTCTTCAAAATTAAGAAAGTTTTCCTTAAGAGGTCTGTAAAATCAAGAAAGTGTGCAAATGCATTAAATTGCCAAAAGAAGACTTCAAAAATATATGCATGAAGCAATCATTAACATGCAAATCACATCCTAATATTAGAATCCTCAAGGAAGACAGAATTAAGTGAGTTCCAGTGTATGCGTGACAGTGATGTCATTCACATCCACGAGAAATCAGCCAGGTGTCAAGATCATGACAAGCCAAGGAGGAGCATTTTCAGGCTGATTTTCTCTGCCATGGAGTATAACGATCCTTCCAGTTCTGTGCTACTACTGAACCAGTAGTTATGCTAACCCAGAACTGCTGGTGGTGTGTGATAATTTTTACCCATTCCTGAGACCAAGATGAAGGAACACTATTAAAATGTGTAGAAGTCAGCTTCCGGTGCCTGTTTCTCCAAACACAAGCTCTGCACCACCTCTTAAATAATTACAGCCTGACAAGCTGATCTTGCAAAGAACAGCAACAATAGTAAAGCCACCTAAAATTCCCATGGAAATCATGTCACCTATTGGAGTATAAAAGGGAAGAAGTAAAACCTAGATTATGATATTAAGAGATTTTTACCTTGTACTTCTCCATCCTCATTTCTCCCCTTCACTCATGTAGAAAGCATGAATCTATGGCTTAGGTTCTGATGTTATTACCTACTTCCCAACATATGATGTCAAAAAGGACAAATCTAAGTATTCCACAGCAACATAGACTCAGAAAGTGATTAATAAGAAACCTCAGGATTATAAAAAGTACAATACACTGAATAATCTACCAGAGAGAAAGCAGGTAAAAAATGGAAATTTAAAACAGACAATATCCTTAAAGAAAACTGTAAAATTGTTGCTGGCACTGGGGCAGTGTAGTCTAAGCCTCCATTGTAGTGCTGGCATCTCGAGATGCCATCTCGTGTCCTGAAAGTTCTTCTTTCAATCCAGCTCTCTGATTATGGCCTGGTAAAAGATACCTCAAGTGCTCGGGCCCCTGCACCCATGTGGGAGACCTGGAAGAAGCTCCTGGCACCTGCCTTCAGGTCAGCCCAGATCTGGCATTGTAGCCATTTGAGGAATGATCTAGCAGATGGAAGACCTTTCTCTCTGTCTTTAGCTCTACCTCTCAAATAAATAACTAAAATAAAATAAAAAAGAAAAGAATAAAATAGGGTGGTAGCTTTAATGATAATACTGAGATCTGTGTATTAAAACACATAATTATTGAAACAAGGAACTCAATAGACAATCAAAAGGATACAGCCAAATGAGAAAATGTGGAAGGTGAAAAATCAAGTCAAAGAATTTATCCAAAAAGTATCAGGAAGAAAATAAGTTGACGTAAAAGAAAAGAGTTAACAGAGAATCCAGAGCCAGATATGTCAACACTCAAATGAATGACTATAGAGTTCCCAAATCATAGAAAAAAAATAAAGCATAGGAAATAACTTAAATAATTAGTAGGAATGTCATAAAGTGAGAGACAAACTAAGGAAAAATATTCACTAAGTTTTTGTTTTTCTGGGAAAAAAGTTTTACTCTGGTTTCCATGGTGTAGAATTCCAGGTTGACAGTTGTCATGGTAAACTATTTTAAAGATGTCATTCCATTGTTTTCTGTCTTATATGATTTTGATAAGCAGGCTCATCTTACATTCCTCAATGTTTCACTAAATGTAATTTTCCAGTGCCAAAACCCCCTATAGCTGCCTTTCAATAGTTTAACTACGACTAATTTTTAACTTAGTCTACTTACAGTTCTCTGAGGTTCTTGAAAGCATGGTTTGTTTTCTTTAGTTAGTTTCGGGAAATCCTCAGTTATTACTTCTTCAAATATTTTTTTCTTTTTCTTCTCTCTCTCTCTTCTTCCTGTTATCCTTTTTCTTCCTCTCCTCCTCATCCTTCTTCCTCTGTAACACTAAATATAGGTAAATTACATTCTTTAATAGTGTTTAATAGGTTTTGGATCACTTATTTTATATATTTTTGCTCTCTTTGCGTTGATCTATGTTCAAGTTTTTGGTCCACCGCCAAGCATGTCATGTGGGCTGATTAACACTTTGATGGACTTCATATCTCATACAGTCATCTTTTTTTTACCTTGATTTTTTTAAAAATTTTATTTAACTTATACAAGTTTCATGTATTCCATATATACAGATGTAGGAATATAGTGATACTTCCCACCCTATCCTCCCGCCTGCCCATGCTCCAACCCTTCCTCCTCCCTCTCCCATTCCCACTCTTAATTTTTACAAAGATCTATTTTCAGTTTATTTAATGATCATAAAGTTAACCTTACACTAAGTAACAGAGTACAACAAATAGTATGATGAAAAAAACATCTCTCCTCAATGGAAGCGGCAAGGGAACCATTTTTCTCCAACACATTACATTTTAGATACTCTATTAGTTACCTCAGATCAGATAAAATATATGCTATCTGTCATTTTGGGGCCAGTTTATGTCCAGTTGTGTCCTTCTTGTTGCAAAAGATAGGATTTTATTTTTTTTTTTTTTACAGCTGAGTAGTACTCCATAGTGTATATACACCATAAATTCTTTATCTAGTCAATAGTTGAAGGACATCTGGATTGATTCTGTATCTTAGCTATTGTGAGTTGTACTACAGTGAACATGGAGTTACAGATAACTCTGTCATATGCTGATTTCTTTTGGTTTGAGTAAATCCCCAGGCGTGGGATGGCTAACTAATATAGTAGGTCTATATGCAGATTTCTAAGGATCTCCAAACTGTCTTCCACAGTGGCTGCACCATTTAACATTCCCACCAACAGTGGATTAAGGTACCATTTTCCCCACATCCTTGCCAACATTTGCTGTTTGTTGATTTCTGTATGAGAACCATTCTAACGGGAGTGAGATGAAACCTCTTTGTGATTTTGATTTGCATTTCCCTGATGGCTAGTGATCCTGAGCATTCTTTTCATGTGTCTGTTGGCCATTTGGATTTCCTCTCTTGAAAAATGCCTCATATAGTGATATCTATATCAAGCATTTACATTTAAACCATTCAAAGATTTCATATGACAGCCAAAATAAATGGTTTGTTATCACTTCCCTTCACTAATTTTCTGTATCTTTGTTTTTTTAAGACTTATTTTATTTATTCAAAAGGCCGAGTTATACAGAGAATGAGGGAGCGATACAGAGAGAGATTTTGCTTCCCACATAGGTGCAAGAACCCAAGAACTTGGGCCATCCTCCACTGCATTCCCAGGTATACCAGAAAGGAGCTGGATCAGAAGTGGAGTAGCCAGGACTTGAAAGGGTACCCATATGGGATGTCGGAGCTGTAGCTGCTGGCTTAACTCATTATAACATGACATATATGCCCCTCTACCTTTCATTTTCAAAACAAATCACTCATAATTCTCTAAAAATCTTCTGTTCAGTTCAATCAATCAATATTTTGGCTATCACTTTCTTTCGTAAGATGGATTGCTTTATCTCTTGACAATGAGTTGATATTCTTATGTCTTGTATTTCTTGCTTGAATGGTGAATATCATGCATAGAATACTAGGAAGGTCTGTGATAAGACCTACTTTTGCCAGATAATAGTCTATGTCTCCTGTTACACTTCTAATAAAAGACATTGAGTCAATCTAGTTGTAAGTTGATTTGAGTTTAGATTCTCTGTCTCTTTCTCTTTTATATAATATACTTACATTAATTACATACCTTCATATTGATTAAAGACTAAAAATCAGAACATGAATGAACTACAACAGAGAAGTTGAATATTTTTCTGAGGCAAAGATAGAAAACACAAGGTAATATGTTGATCGTGACATTAAAAATCTGTAATAGTAGATTTTCTTTTTAAAATAAAGATGAAAATGGCAGACTTTAAAAGAATATATACAGACTAAAGTATGACAAATAGCATAACAAAAACATTTTTAGCAATAATTAAGGAAATACTCCAAAAGAAAGCATCAGAATACTTATGAAATGCCATAGATTTTACAACAATTGATATTAATTGCCCAAACTTTTTACCAAGATTCAGGTTTTTAAGGCAAATTAATTATAGTTCATAAAAATGAAGTACTATGCCACAAATTTCAAACGTCTTGTGGTAGCAAATATGAGACTGAACCTGGGACATTTCATTTTCAAACAGTTTGTTCTTCCACCCACACCAGGGCTTTTCAACATGTGGTCTCCAGACTTGCAGCATTATCTTTGAATGAGAAATTGCTAGAAATGCAAATTCTTTGTGTGTGTGTGTTCTTCTTTTTTAAAAAATGTATTGAAAAGTATAGTTTTCATGTATTTCATATATATATACTTTTAAATGGTACTTCCTACTCTACCCTCCCTCACTCCCACTTCCCTCCTCCTTCTTCCTTATTTATCTTTTAAATTTTGCATTGATGTGCTTTCAATTTACTTTCTAACCACAAGCTTAACCCTCCAACAATTTCACAAGTAAGTAGAAAAACCACTTTTCCTCAGGAGTATAGATCTGGGCTATAAACAATAATCAAATCTCAAAATGTCCAATTTCATTCATATACATTACATTTGGTACTCTATATATTTACTACCACAAATCAAGGAAAACATATGATATTTGTCTTTTTGGGCCTGACTTATTTCACTATGCATAATGGTCTCCAATTGTATACATTTTGTTGTGAAAGACTGCATTTAATTCTTTTTTAATGGATGATTGGTATTCCATCATGTGTATACAATTTCTTTATACAATCATCAGTTGATAGACATCTGGGTTGATTCCATATCTTAGCCATTGTGAGTTGAGCTGCTATAAACAGGAGTGTACTCATAACTCTTTCATGTGCTGATTTCATTTTCTTTGGGTAAATTCCCAGGAGTGGGATGTCTGGGTCATGTGGTAGATTTCTATTCAGATTTCTGAGGAATTTCCATGCTGTCTTCCCTAATGGTTGTTCTAGTTTACATTCATGCCAACAGTGTATTAGTGTACCTTCTTCCCCCAACCCTTGCCAGCATTTGTTATTTTTTTAATTTTTGAATGATAATCATTCTAACTGTGGTGAGGTGAAACCTCATTGCGGTTTTTATTTGTATTTCCCTGATGTCCAGTGATCCTGATCATCTTTTCTTTTGGTCATTTGTATTTCATCGTTGGAAAAATGCTTGTTCATATCCTTAGCCCATTTCTATACTGGTTGTTTGTTTTATTGTTGTTGAGTTCTTAAACTTCTTATATATTCTAAATATTAATCCTTTATCAGGTGTATAGTTTGCAGCCATTTTCTCCCAAATATTAGCTGCATCTTTACTTTGTTGGGTATTTCCTTCTCTGTGCAGAAGTTACTTAATATAATCTTATTTGTCTATTTTCATCTTTATAGTCTGTGCTTCTGGGGTCTTATTCAAGAAGCCCTTGTCTATGCCAGTCTCTTAAAAATGTTAACCCCACGTTTTCCTCTAGTAATTTGGTGATTTCAGGTCCATTAAGAGTTGATTTTTGTATAGGGTATAATGTAGGGATTCTGTTTTATACTTCATGCAGAGATTCAATTTTTTCAACATCATTTGTGGGAGACATTCCTTTCTCCATGGAGTGATTTTAGCTTGTTTGTCAAAGATTAATTGATTGTAGATGTTGATTAATTTCTGGGGTCTCTAATCTGTTCCATTGGTCCACATGTCTATTCTTATCACAGTCCCAGGCTCTTTTTTTTTTTTTTTTTTTTTGACAAGCAGAGAGGACAGTGGGAGAAAGAGACAGAGAGAAAGGTCTTCCTTTGCCGTTGGTTCACCCTCCAATGGCCGCTGCGGCCGGCGCTCTGCATCCGGTGCACCACGCTGATCCGAAGGTAGGAGCCAGGTACTTATCCTGGTCTCCCATGGGGTGCAGGGCCCAAGCACTTGGGCCATCCTCCACTGCACTCCCGGGCCATAGCAGAGAGCTGGCCTGGAAGAGGGGCAACCGGGACAGAATCTGGCGCCCCGACAGGGACTAGAACCCCGTGTGCCGGCGCCACTAGGCAGAGGATTAGCCTGTTGAGCTGTGGCGCCGGACTCCAGGCTCTTTTGATTATAACTACCCTGTAATACGTTCTAAAATCAGGTATGACATGCCTTTGGCTTTATTTTTATTGTTTAGGACTGCTTTAGCTATTTGGGGTCTCTTGTGATTATAAATTTTGGTTCCTTTTTTCTAGATGGGAACGTCTTTAATATTTTCTTTGGGATCACATTAGTCTATAAATTGCTTTGGGTAGCATGGATATTAATTTTTCCAATCCATTCTTAAGCCCCATTTGAGACCATCTCAGAAACCTTGGAAGTGACTCAGGATTCATTTTTAACAAGCACTGCATATGATTGTGGTGTACAGGAAGTTTGAGTACCACTGGTCCAGACTGCATTGGAATTTATCTAGTTATTCCTATATGTATACATAATTTGGTATAATATATCACCTTAGCACCAAAGAGATTTGCAAATAAAAGCAATTGTTTCGCCGGTGCCACGGCTCACTAGGC